CTTTTATTACAATAATAATTATTACTACTTTCTTTTTTTTTTCTTTTTTGCTGCAATAAGAAATCTCCAACAGTTTATTTCGTTCTTCCAACATTTTCCTGTTCTCCAGCCATGTGGTTTAAGTCGATTTCTTGAAGTTGTATTAGGCTTACTGTAGGTTCAGTACTGAGATGCAGATCTTGTTGTGTCATTTGCCAGCAAGTCACACATCACCTGAACATGTTCCGAATATACTCGCAAAGCAAAAAAATAAATGTAGACTGCACTTAATTCCAAAAGAGTATTTCTTAATGTCCCATGCATTCAGCACAAAGAGATGACTTAACATGTGGGAGGATTCCCAAAACTGTCTAATATCACATATTGGAATTAAGCTAGACCACTATATCGTTTGTTACCAGAATACGTGTCTATATGGATTTCCATTTTGTGAACGGACTTAGTTTATATCGCTCTCTTGTTTATTAGCATTTTATTGCTGCATTCTCTATATACTTTACCCAATTGGGCAATAATCCAATAAATCTGTCTACAAAATCCATGGCAAAATACATGTTAAAAGCCAAATAGATTTTTACGTTTTTTAAAAGTATGAAGGGAACCATAGAATGATCCTTTTTAAATATATTTGTACAGCCTTGAGTTCAATCATCCATCCATTTGTGGGTCAGTGACAAACGCTCCGATATCACTTTATCTGAAAATTGAATATTAGAAGTTCTTGACGATAATCATGTCATTTGCAGTCACTTTGTAGATTAAAGTGATTGACGAATAAAAGATAAATTGATAGGTAAAGATAGTGGTAAATATCACCCATAAAACGTACCATTATCCTTCCTTATTGATGGACCTGCTGCTCAGCAGCCTGTGTTTGCTCAGTTTTTTTCTCATCGAACGGTTCAGTGGTTTTTCCCAAGGCAAGAACCAAATATATCTTCCTTGGCTCCTAAATATTATGGAGTTAAAATCGAGCCAGCCTATTTACATGAAGGGATTTTCTGGATAAGAAGGATTAAAAGACAATATTTATTTACAAAATTTTGCTTGCAATTCTTCAAATAAAAGTTAAACACTAAGTCAGAAAATTTAAACGTTACAGAAAAGATGTCTAACAATTTGAATGTTTAATTTATCAACAAGGGCACTATCTTTTTTAATTTCATCTTATTTGATTGCATCTCATTTTATTTCTTATTGTTTTTGGTTGTGTTCTTCTGGGGCAAGGGGGGATTAAGGTCAGTCATTAAGATGGTTCACTTTATCTGGTCCTTTTTCTTTCTCATTTGAATGTGATATCGAGCTGATATTGAAGCGTTAAACGATTCTTCCAAATGTGATGAAATTCTGAATAAAAAAGCAAATCAATGCCACAAGATAATAGTCAAATAACAAACTAATGGCTGGAATAGTTGATTATATTTGATAAAAAAATCGTTGTGAACTTGAATTATCTGTATATTCGATTTATCGCCATGACTCGCGAAATGAGCTGAATATATCAATAGTTTAGAATGATTAAGACTGTTTAAAGTATTAAAGTTTTGGAGGCGTAAAAGCATTTCTTCTCGTCTTTTATTAGATAATGCCGTAGATGTCGATCCGACAACTCAAAACGGACTCTAGCATGTGTTCAAATATACACACAAAATTTAAAAGCATGAAGTTACGACACTTTAATTTTTTGTGCTACTCAACACCCATGTCAAATCCATGAGATGATATAAAGCAAAGTCAAATAAGGGCTTAAACTTCATTTGTGTTTTGTCTTAACTTTGAGGCGCATGAAAATGTTTCTGAAACTTTGTCTTGTTGTTGCTTTGCTTTCGGTTACTTACGCGAGGTCCTTCCTTATGTTTTCTTTCATTTATGTACCGCAATGAATGGCAGATCTTGAGCTAAGGGGGGGGTGGTCTTTTTGTCGCTTGTCCTACCGGCTTTTCTTCCCTCTGCGAATGTTATATTCTTCTTCCTATCAGTGTTATTTTGTATGGTTGGTGTTGCTCGAGAAATGAACGGAATGCTAGAACAAATGGGTAAAATTCTCAAATATTGAAATAAAAAGGGCCATGGCTATTTTTTTCCGGAAAGTTTTTCATAGAGCATTTGGTTAAAATTATCAAATAATGAAATAAAAAAGGGTCAAGATTTATTCATCAAACAATCGTGTCATCGCATCCCATCTTATTGTTCTCTGTTGCCGAAGAGCCAAATTGCCCGAGTATCCCCAGTTTATTCCAGCCATAGGACTCAAAAAGCTATATGGCTATTACCAGTATCATCAGTGTACTGAGTGTAATTTTGGGAGCTGAATTCTTAACCTTGATTACTATTTCACGAGTTCCGTCCCACGGAGAAGAAATATGCATGGTAACTTGGATCTTTTTTTTTTATCCAAGGAGCGGAAATAGAACTCAGTTTTCTTGTTAACTAAATTTAGTGATAAACTTTCACTTGTCTCATCTTCTTCATCAGCTGTTTCCTTTCATTCTTGAGCATCACTCCCGTCTTCTTCATGACTCATTTCGTCAAATTCTCCATCTTCATTTTCCCGTTCTTCGTCATTATCTTCATCAATTCGTCAGAAGCAGTCTCAAACTCGACATCACTTACATCTTCAACGTCTTGGGCTGTGTTACAAGAAGAAATGATTAAAAAAATGCACAAGTCAACTAAAACTACACTTATCTATCAACTAAAGACAATCAAACCAGTCATTGGAGAGCAGGGGCTCCACTTTTTACAATCGACCTTAGAATTACTTTATGTCCTCCTTGGAGATAAAACTGTTTAAAATATATCCTATAAATTTTCTTTTCTGACAAAGCTGAAAATGATTTTTTGCTGGGTTTTAAACGTAAGAGCTAAAGCAAACCTTAAATGTATTTGATTGATAAAGAAGCTACTTAAACTCACCTTTCTCTCTTGTATTAGAAAAATTATGACCAATGTGCTGATTGGAAAAGGATGCACTAACAAGGAAAAAAAAAGACAAAAAAAAAGTTATGCTCCTATGTTTGTGACAAAAGTCCTTCCTGCTTTTCCGCCAGGTAAGGGGCGGTACAGGTTCCAAGAAGAAAACTGGGATCCAATAAAATTTCATCTGCATGGCTTAAACGGTTGTAACTCCGGGCAGAGAATTGCTCAACCAAAACCTGCTTTAAAAAAACTTGGTTGATGCGGAAAATGACCATTACTCCTAAACATTTCTTTCACGAGTTTCTTCCCGATGAGTAGAAAAATGCCAAACTTTCGCCATTGACATTATAACTTGGATCTCATCTCCGAAGCGGAGACAGAACGGTTTTCTTGTTAACGAAATTTAATGATCAACTCTTGCCTGTCTCTTCGTCTTTCATCGTTCATTTCTTCTAGTTCCGCAGCATCCCTCTCGTTTTCTTCATCTCTTAACTCATCAAATGCTTCATTTTCACTCTCCAGTTCCTTATTATTCTCTCCGTTAAATTTATCAGAGGCAGTCTCGAAATTTTCGTCATTCAGATCTTCAACTTCTTTGGCTATTTAGGGAGAAAAGAGAAGGCAACAAAAACTGATTAAAGGTGAAAATCAAAGTAGAATACGCTGGTTTTCATTTGAATACAACCAGACCGGTAATTAAGTGCAGAGAGTCTCGGCACGAAGAGACTCAGAGTTGCTTTCTTATCCACGCTCGTAAGAACTGTATTGAAGATAATTGCTATGAGTATTCTTATCTTTTCTGGTAAAAATTTCATAATTTTGATCCAACACCTACCCGCTTTTCTGCCAGGTAAGAGGCTGTACAGGCTCCAAGAAGGAAACAAGTGATCAACAAAAGTTTCATCTGCATGGCTGAAGTCATTTTAACTCTGGGCAGACAATGGCTCTGGTGATACCCTCATCATTCCATTTATGGGTTTCACATAGATGCCAATAGTGTAGAGCCAAAACTCATTACATTACATTGCATACTTTGCATGAAACTAACTAGGGGAGGATCAAAAATAGGTAAATAAAAGTTGTATTTTATGATGCAATTGGGTGACAAGACAAAGGCATGGAGGTGTCGAGAATATGTTTCGTCAAGCACTCTTAATAGTCTAAGGCTAAAAATAGAGAGGTTGACCTTGAAGTTAGTGCGCACGGTAGACAATAAACTGCATCAAGAACAATTTTACGGAACAACACTATGAAACAGAAGCCTTGGAGATCGGAATAAAGTTGTGATACAAAATTTCCCTGCTTTCGTTTTAACTATTTTGAAATCTCAGCCGAAAATCGAACTTCTAAATTAAGGACAGTTATATTTAGAGCTATGAATACGCCGATTTGATGCTATACGGTTGGACAATTTTCTCGTCCGATATTTCTAATATTTTATTCCTGCGTAAATTTGATAATAGGGTCTCACTGATTAGGATCTCGATGAAATGACCTTCTACTAAATATTGCAATTATCCAGCTCTTTTCTTAAGGTTGAGTATGTAGTCAGGGCGAATGGCTAACAGTCAACAGGAGAAACAAAAACGATTCTACGGAAAAAGACTATTATACGGAAGTCTTAATAAGTAGAATAATCATATAAATTGTAGAGTTTTGATAAGAGAGGAAGCTTTTTTGGGGTACCATTATCAAAATATAAGACAAAATTGAACTTTCATAATTCTGAAAGTTGCATTTACAATTGAATATGTCATATTGATGTTATAAAGTTCGGCAATTTTCTCGTCTGATATTTTTTATTTCATATCCTGAGTAGTTTTAATTACAAAGCTTCACCGAATAGTACTTCGGTGAAAATGACCTGCTGCTTGGATATTGCAGTCATAACATCAAAAGTTAGATCTAATTCTAGATCATTACTTAGGTCTATATTGAATGCATGTAACGATATTTCTGTTTATCACTGCTGTGTTGGGATATCATACACAAAATGAAGTTTTAACTTTTCTGACTGAGATAATGTTTATGTTACTTACATAGATATAATTACAAAGTGACTTTTAGTCGGGAATTCAGAACTAAGACTGATATTTGAGGGGATGATATTTATAACGCTTTTTAAAGCCATGAATAGAGAGCCGTTTCCAGTTTGTTGGTACCGTTTCCCAAAATTTAGAGGCTACATATACAAAGGTAAATTTGACAGTGTTAAATCTTACTTTTGGTCGATGAAATACCCTTCGAGGCGTATCTGGCGTTATACTTGTGCAGGCTAGAAACTGTTCTGAGAGAATCATAAAACAGGAAAAGAATACTGGAATACTTGTTCAATATCTTATGTGCGAGTAGGCACGTACTCAGTTTAACAATATTATCGAATTTAAGAATATCAAGAAGCTTATAGAAAACTTGGGATGACTCTCTACTATAAGCAAAACACATACAACAAATGCAATTATTCTAAAGAGAATAAAACTTGTTTAGATTTGATGGATGAGTATTTCCCCAGACTACAATGGCATAATTTCAATAGGGATATATCAGTGTATAAAACATGTATACTCACGTAGTGTCAAAATTTATATAAGACCCCAATATTTTTAGCTGCCTAGGCCTTGGTTTTAACATGGGTTTTTTGATCTTTCCAATTCAATTTTTGATCTCTATAAACATCAAGGTACTTAATGTAAGTCATGTGCTGAAAATTAAAAACATTTATAGGAGTAACTTTTTTCCTTGGTGAGGTTCTTAACATGAAGTTAATTTTTTTTCATGCCAACAGATTGTTTAATTAATAGTTTCACAGTTCATAACTGATTCAATATCATTTATGTCATCTGAAGTATGGAAGATGTTAGCATCGTCAGCAAAAAGGCGAAAGGACAATTTGTGAGATGAATTGGCAAGGTCATTGATATGAATTAAAAATAATAAGGAGTAGTAGCCTGAAGTAGATACTTGTGGTACACCACAAGCCATCTCTAATAAACTTGACTTTTCATTCTCAATTTGAACAAATTGCTTGCGATCTTGGAGATAACTTGCAAACCAATCACGCGGCTTACCTCGGATACCATATTTATAGAGTTTGTCACAATATTTGATTATTTACTGTATGAAATGCTTTTGAGAATTCTAAGAGAAAGCCACAAGATATAAAATTTCTGTCAATAGAGGCTTTAAGATTATCAGTGATCTCCATAATCGCTTGCTCAGTGGAATGGCTTTTTCTCAAGCCACGGGTTCTTAAAAATTACATCGTGCCCATCAAGGTATTTCACTCGCTGATCATAAATGACTCGCTCCAAGAACTCACTGAGGGGGGATAGTATAACTATTGGCTGGTGTTTACCAGGATCAGACAAAGCTCCACTTTTAAAAACGGGAATTACTTTGAAACTTTAAATAATCAGGCACAATGCCAGTAGAGATTGAATTATTAAAAATAAATGCAAATGGTTTGGATAGGATTTAGAGGCTAATCTAACCAATTGATTTGGAACATCTAGTGACGATTTCTTATCATTTAAGCAAGGGAAAAAGTCAGCAACCCACTCCTCTTTCACAGGAGACAAAGAAAACCTATGTAAAGTAGAATGATTTATAAGTCCACGTGGATCTCCATGAGTATTATAAACAGTTTTTGCCAAGTTAGGAACGGCATCAATAAAATGCTGATTAAACTGCTCAGCAATATCTAATTGATAAGTGAGCTCTATACTATTTCTTTTAATTCTAACAGGACAATTTGGGCCTTTATTTTTTCTCTTGACTAATGTGCCCATGAGCTTCCAGGCGGTCTTAAGATCATTTTGATGGAATTTGAAGTGCTGATAGTAGAAATAATTCTCAGCCTTAGTTTTGATTAAGTTTAGAGTATTAGCATGAAGCTTATATTCTTTTACCTTATCAGGATCTCTAATGAGGAAGTGTGATTTGTATAACTTCTGGCTATGCTTAACTGTAGTCAATACACCTTTAGTAAGCCACGGTTTGGTCAATTGCCTCCTTTTTCTTTATATGTGCATGCTTGTTTGCATTTCGGTTGAGCATACTTATACAATTAGCAGCTTCCTCATGAATATCATTGGATCATTGTATACATTGATCAAATCAACCGTATCGACATCTCTAACATACTGGTCCATATCAAAGTTTTTATAATCACGAAATAGAATGCTCTCTGATACCTTGGTATTTATCGACCAAGCACTGGTAATAGAATTATCTCAGACATTAACCAGCACATGCCGGCATCCACACTCAAATTAGAATTTATGTAAATGTGGTCAATCAGAGTAGAAGTATGAGTACCTTGAGCGAGCCCGGTTGGTTTTGTTATTAGAGGTAGTAGATTGTGAGAATAGCGCATAGTTAGGTACTCTTCAGATAATAAATGCTCACTAAATTCCAGGAGATCTATATTAAGATCGCCAAGAATGTATATCTCATACTGAATTGCCTCTTTAAGCAAAGTTTCAAATTCAAAAGTAAAAGCAGGTAAATTACAAGAAGATGGCGGAAAAAGCAACCAACAATTACATTAGGTCTCCCATTCCCAGAAGTGATTTCTCACCAGGATGATTCGTCAATGGTATGGTAAACTTTAAATCAGGTCCATGAATGGCATTAGGATTTTTCGAGACATAAAGCCCAGAACCGCTAGTCTGTTTTGGTAGGTTGATGTGGAAGAAATCATAATTGAGGATATCAACATTTGTTATTGTCCGGTTTGATAGTCTCGTTTCAGTAATAGCTAAGATATCAGGCTTGCGGTTAACAGAATGTAAAAACTCGTTCAATAGAGACAAATGCTTTGGAAGACTTCTGATATTACAATGAAACATAGAAAGACACTTTGAAGTGGTATTATCTAAGAGTTGATTCAGCTGAGTTAGGAAATAATAGTTGGAACGTGGACAATTAAGGATGTTATCGGAATCAATGTCATACCACCAGTTACCAATCACTGCTAATTTTTTTTTTTAATTTTTTTTTTTTTTAAAAACTAGTGAGCAGCATACAGCAACAGATCTTGTCAACTTGGTTTATTATCCAACCGGTTTCGTCTGATCACACAGACTTCATCAGGGATTTAACAAGATGAACAAAATAGAACAACGAATATACTTGACATTTACAGTACAAATCACGTTCAAATTGAGGTGAAAACTGCAAAAAACACCCGCAAACAGGAAATGTTACGCAAATCTAGCGCAACAATTTGGCAATGTTACGCAAATTCAGCGTAACAAATTAAGCAATGTTTATTTTTTTTATTTTTGGGGTTTACGCTAAATCGTGAGCCCCAAACGCCAAATTTGACAATCTTTACGGTTATCAGTTTACATTGTCATCTAAGCTGATGAAGCCAAATGATCTAGTTTTACTCCTCACAGACGCAGTACCACAATTTTTTCTAGAAATCCACCCTTTATTTACTTGTTATCATTATTGCTCATCGTTTAAACACTTTTAAAAACTGCCATGGTATTTTATTGTTAGACGAGGGCCAGAGTGGTGCTTCATTTGAGTGATGCACCATAAACCGATGAGTGATGCACTCATCGAATATACAAAAGGATGATTAATAGGATCTTTATTTTCAGGCGCCGCTTTATCCTGCCTTGTTCCTTGGGTTGAAGAACTTGTAGAATAGTTATAATGAGGGATTAAATTCAACCCTGATAAAAATCACTCCAAATTATTTACGTTTCCCCAGTCTCGCAACTAATTCAAGCCTCTAGTTCAGTTTCGTTTCTATTTTATCACCTACAAGTATTGACTGAAGATTTCTTACATTATTTTCCGATCAAGTATTACAATATTTGGCCGTATATGACTTTTATGGTTTTTGGAAAACTAGAATTATTTTCTTTCATTCATGTTGTATTATGCGGTTGTTGTTTGACAAATGAATGCCACTAAAGGTTGAAACCGCAGGAAAGTAGTGATAAAGCGTGCTGATAAACGTTTAGGACAAGATGAAAAAATTCAAATCATTTATTTCAGAATTTGGTCAATTGTGATGTGAATTGTGTAGCTTGCGGTTTGCAGCAGATAAATAAATAAAATGAAATAAGAAAAGAGAACAAGGATGTCAATTGAACCAAAAAAATTTATTTAACGCTTTTAAAGCTACAATTTCAGCTATGACTTTAAAGCAACTTTATTCATCTTGCGTGGGTCTTGGTCCAGTCTAATCATTTTCGCCTAACCTGAAATAGCGAAAAGAAAATGAGAAAGTGTCCTTTCTAAAGTTACTTTAGTGAGTAGTGAGGCCAGTTGGGACAAGCGTAATTATCTATGGCATGTTACAAGTATCAGAGAGACAACTGAACAACGACCAGTACATGCATTTCTTGTTTAAAAAATGCCTTCAATTTTCAGCGCGATTACAAGCTTGTAGCAATCTTTAATCGATATTTGTGAAAGACTCACCATTCTAACGACCGTAGGGCTAGTAGGGGTGGCGGTAGCCGTAGCGGTAGCCGTAACCTTTTCCTTTTTTCGGGTAGTAACCCTTTCGGCCACGATATTTACGGTAGGCTTTGCGGTAGCTTTTCCTAAGTTTTTTTCGGTAGGGTCCTTTACGGTACTTGCGGTAGCCTTTTCCTTTCCCATACAAATAACCTAAAATAATTACGAAAAAAAATACTCTAGACCATTAATATCAAACAATGGATTATCGAACATAAAAATCTCAGAATCAGACAAAAGGCCCATTCATTAAGATTTCTTCCAAATTTAACGAAATAATTGTGTGATGTAATAATGATGTTGCTTTAATTATATCTTGGCAAGGTGGAAACAATAGCCTCTATTTGACGTAAAAATATACAGGAACATTTATCCTCCGACATTATCTGTTCGAAGATGCGAAATCTGCTTCGAAGGACAAATACACGAGTGCATTTTCGTGTAAAATAGAGCCTTTGTAATTATTATCCTTCAAACATTTTGCAGCGCGCGTCGGATGTTTTCTTTTGAGCGTTCTCCAGTACGATTTTATGAACAAACGAATAATTCCCATTTTCTGCTATATCTTCTTGAATTAAAGCCTATCAGTTGGGTGATAGCCTTGACTATGTCCCAGTTTTAGCTGGGGGATATTCGGCCGCCTGACCGAATACAAATCGTGCGCGAGCAAGAACGTTTCATGGATCAAAAATCAAGATATAAGATCAAGATGTAATATCAAGAAATGTTGAATAACTTTACCATATTTCTTTTTTGACTTTCTTGGCACCGGTCTTGGATCCTCAGAAACTTCATCTTCATCTGATGGAACAAAAATCATAACATCTGGTTAGAAAGTGCTTTTCTCACAGTTTACCTCATTGATAATTGTGTCATCATGTCCTACGTAATTTTTCTTTGTTTCCAAGGAAGTAAATCGCCCAGTAATCCCTATGATAAGACAAATTCAGGCGTTATACGGATCCTTTCGGTATAATCAGTGTAGCGAGCAGTTTTCTTTTCCTTGATTCGTATTTTGCGATTGAAATATAAATCTCGCAAGAGTCAGCTTTTGTTCCTTCCCATACTACCTTTCATACCAACTTTCAACTGTTGTCAACCAAAACCTGCTTAAAAAACCTGGTTGATGCAGAAAATGACAATTAAAGTTACCCCTGTTTATCCTGCACGATTCTTTCACGAGTTTCTTCCCGATGAGTAGAAAAATTCCAAACTCTCTCCATTGACATTATAACTTGGATCTCATCTCCGAAGCGGAGACAGAACTCGGTTTTCTCGTTAACGAAATTTAATGATCAACTCTTGCCTGTCTCTTCGTCTTCATCGTTCATTTCTTCTAATTCCTTAGTATCCATCTCGTTTTCTTCATCTCTTAATTCTTCAAAGGCTTCATCTTCATTTTCCGGCTCCTCGTCATTCTCTCTGTCAAATTTATCAGAGGCAGTCCCGAAGTCTTCGTCATTCAGATCTTCAACTTCTTGGGCTATTTTATGGGGAAAAGGAAAGTAAAAAAAAAATCGATTAAATGTGAAAATCAAAGTACGCTGGAGACTTAGAGTTGCTTTCTTATCCACGTTCGTGAGAACTGTATTGAAGATAATTCTTATGAGTATTCTTATGTTTTTTGGTAAAACTTTTTTTTAATCAGGCTTCAAAAAGTAACTAAGTAACTTCTTAAACTGACCTGTATCCTCACTCAGAGGAGCATCTAGGGAAGGAAAAAAAGAGTACTTAGTGAAAGTAACACCACTGGACTGATGGAAAAAGGAATGAATGGTCTAATAAAAATAATCATGCTCTCATAATTTTGATCCAATACCTTCCCGCTTTTCCGCCAGGTAAGAGGCTGTGCAGGCTCCAAGAAGGAAACAGCTGATCAACAAAAGTTTCATCTGCATGGCTGAATCCGTTTTAACTCCGGGCAGAGAGTGGCTCTGGTGACACCCTCATCGGCCCATTTATGGGATTCATAGAGAGGCTAATACTGTAGAACCAAAACTCAATATATTACATTGTATGCTTTGCATGAAATTAATTAGGGAAGGATTAAAAACAGGAAAATAAAAGTAGTATTATATGGTGCAATAGGTGACAAGACAAAGGCATGGAAGCGTCGAAGCACTCTTCAAGCACTCTTAATAGTCTAAGGCTAAAAATAGAGAGGTTGACCTTAAAGTTAGTGCACGCGAGAGACAATAAACTGCATCAAGAACAATTTTACGGAACAACACTATTAGACAGAAGCCTTTAAGTTTGGAATAATGTTGATGTGATACGAGATGTCTCTCTTTTCGTTTTAATTATTTTGAAATCTCAGCCGATAATCGAACTTCTAAATTAAGAACAGTTATATTTAGACTTACTAATACGTCAATTTCATGTTACGTGGCTGGACAATTTACTCGTCTGATATTTCTAATTTTTTTGATAGGGTCTCACTGATTAGCATCTCGATGAAATGACCTTCAGCTAAATATTGCAATTATCCTACCAACCGAAATTTCACCTCTTTCCTATGGGTTAAGCATCTAGGTAGGGCGAATGGCAAACAGTCAACAGGAGAAACTAGAACAAGTCTACGGAACAGCATTATTCTACATTATTTTACGGAAGCCTCAACGAGTAGAATAAATAGAAATAGAGTTTTGATACGAGAGGAAGGTTTTTCTGGGTACATTACTAAAATTCTAAAACGTTGTATTTAGAATTCTCTATGACAAATTGGTGTTACATTGTTCGGCAATTTTTTCGTCTAAAATATTTGATTTTATGTCCTGGGTAGCTTCAATTGCAAAGCTTCACCGAAAACTGAAGTACTTCGATGAAAATGTCTTGCTGCTTAGATACTGCACTTATAGCATCAAAATAGGAACTCTTCCCTTATCAAAAAGAGGGCAAGACTGTTGTCGATCAGTTTTAATTAAAGAATTGTTGAGAGAGCAACGTCTAAACGAACTAATGATGGATTGATGGATTGTTAATGCTTGACAACAACGTAAGGAGCGAACAATTAGAGGAAACCAAGTGCGTAAAATTAGATCTATTAGTAGATTAGTACTTAGGTCTATATTGAATACATGTAACGATATTCATTTGATCACTGCTGTGTTGGGATATCAACAATGAAAATGATCAAAAGAGCATGTAAATCTTTCTTTATACATAAACAAAAGGAAGTTTTAACTTCTCTGACTGAAGTAATTTTAATGATTCAAGGTTAAATTCAGTAAAAAAGACTAAAATTGGGTATGGAAAATAAAATCTATTTTGCAAATATTAATTCCTGTATTTTTGTTTTTCTTGAGAAAAAGAAAGACCGAACTCTTTACAGTATCACCATTTTTTGCCCTTCTTAAACTCCTCCAAATATATCCAGAAATAGTCGTGCCTATCTCAATTGTAATCAAAATATTGGCAAGTTCCGACAATCTTTCAACTTGACGATGACTTAGTGAAACTTTTACACCTTTAAAGCGTTGAAAGTATTTGGAAAATTTCTTTGCGCGCTACCTTCAATTTTGTCTTAAAAGCTTTTGGACTTTAAAGTCTTCTTGGGTGTGTTTATTGTTAATACTAGGAACATATCTCTACTGATATCTGTTTTACTCAAGCAATGACAGTGTTTTTGTTTGTGGGGGTCTGATACCTTGAGGAATCTTTTTACAGAGCTAGAATGCACTATTGTTTTTTCCCTTGCTACATAAGCGAAGTTCGAAAATTTGCTTTTTATTAGATCAGATTGTAATAGAAGTCCATATGGAAGCGCTGCAAGGATTCTCTCCATGAGAGTAAGTCAGAATTATTAGAATAGATGCCTAAAACATATTAATGGGCTCTAGGTGCTGAATAAATCATTGGGGAAAACTGTCCATGAAAATCATGTTTTGGTTGAAGGGGAAGTAGTCGCTCACAAAACCACAGAAATAATTTTTCTTTTTCATTTATGTATTCTGCAAGACTAGGGAATAGCCTACTAAATATAACAAAACGAAATTCAATCAGTTCAGGCTTTCCAGAAAGGATAACCTCAATGCTGTTAGCAATTGCCAAATGATTTAAGAGCTTTCCAGGGACGTTGCCCTAAAAATTGAGATGGAATCCAAGTGTTAAACAGATCATCGGGGCTACCTGTCCTTGAAAATCAGTTTTTTTAAGAAACATTAGCTGCTCACAAAAGAACAGAAATAATTATTTCGCAAGACTAAAACATGGCCTGCAGAAGGTAATAAAACCAAATTCTAACACATCAGGGGACAACCAATTTTATCACGACTGGGACGTGTCATACTTGACTGAAGACATAGCATACTACAGTGTATATTGTTCATCTTACCTGAATGTACGTGTCTTTTGCAGAATTGGTATATTGTTTTAAAGATTTAGACTCACAGCAATATTAGCCTGTGAGCGGCAAAGACGTGCAAGATACATGAGCCTTAAAAAAAGCCTTAACCAATGTTTAGAAGTAGGAACCGTTCTTAACCATCAAGAAAAAGAGAGGGCAGGTCGAGCTTGTTCCGAAAAAAGGAGCAATCAGAATCAAGGAATTCGAATATTTTAAATTTCAGATTTCATTAGGTGTGCGCGCACCAACATTGAGCAAAAACCTCCTAGAGCCTCCTCAAGTGGACAATTGGGAAGATTCCCAAAACTGTCTACTATCATATATTGAAATTAAGCTAGACCACCATACCATTTGTTACCAGAATACGTGTCTATATGGATTTCCATATTGTGAACGGACTTAGTTCATATCGCTCTCTTGTTGATTAGAATTTTATTGCTGCACTGTCCATAAACTTTACCCAATTGGGCAATAATCCAATAAATCTGTCTACAAAATCCATAGCAAAGTACATGTTAAAAGCCAAATAGATTCTCACATTCTGAAAAGGTGCGAAGGAAACCATAGAATGATCCTTTTTAAATATATTTGTACAGCATTGAGTTCAACGTCAACATCCATTGTTCGTTCAGCGACAAACGTTCCGATATTGCTTTATCTGAAAATTGAATATCGGAAGTTCTTGACGATAATCATGTCATTTCTAGTCACTTTGTTGATTAAAGTGATTGACGAACAAAAAGATAAATTGATAAGTAAAGATAGTGGTAAATATCACCCATAAAACGTACCATTATCTTTCCCTTTTTGATGGACCTACTGCTCAGCAGCCTGTGTTTACTTAGTTTTTTCTCATAGAACGGTTCACTGGTTTTTCCCAAGGCAAGAACCGAATATATCTCCCTTCTCTCCTAAATATTATGGAGTTAAAATCGAGCTAGCCTATTTACATGAAGGGAATTTCTGGATACCAAGGGTTAAAAGCCCATATCTATTTGCAAAATTTTGCTTGCAATTCTTCGAATAAAAGTTAAACACTAATTCAGAAAATTTAAATGTTACAGAACAGATGTCTAATGATTTGAATGTTTAATTTATAAACAAGGACACTATTTTCTTTAATTTCAACTTATTTGATTGTATCTCATTTTATTTCTTATTGTGTTTGGTTGTGTTCTTCTAGGGTAAGGGGGAATTAGGGTCAATAATTAAGATGGTTCACTCTATCTAGTCCTTTTTCTTTCTCATTTGGATGTGATATCGAGCTGATATTGAAGCGTTAGACGATTCTTCTGATTGAGATAAAATTCTGAATGAAAAAAGCAAATAAATGCCACAAGATAATAGTCAAATAACCAACTAATGGCTTGAATAGTTGATTAAACATTTGATAAAAGAAATCGTTGTGAACTTGAATTATCTATATATTCGATTTATCGCCATGACTCGCGAAATGAACTGAATATATCAATAGTTTAGAATAATTAAGACTGTTTAAATTACTAAAGTATCTGAGGCGTAAAAGCATCTCTTTTCAGCTTTTATTAGATAATGCCGGAGATGTCGATCTGACAACTCAAAACGGACTCTAGCAGGTGTTCAAATATGCACACAAAATTTAAAAGCATGACGTTACGACACTTTAATTTTTTGTGCTGCTCAACACCCATGTCAAATCCATGAGATGATATATAGTAAAGTCAAATAAGGGCTTAAACTTCATTTGTGTTTTATCTTAACTTTGAGGCACATGAAAATGTTTCTGAAACTTTGTCTTGTTGTCGCTTTGCTTTCGGTTACTTACGTGAGGTCCTTTCTTATGTTTTCTTTCATTTATGTACCGCAATGAATGGCAGATCTTGAGCTGGGGGGGGGGTGGTCTTTTTGTCGCTTGCCCTACAGGCTTTCTTCCCTCTGCGAATGTTATATTCTTCTTCCTATCAGTGTTATTTTGTATGGTAGGTGTTGCTTGAGAAATGAACGGAACACTAGAACAAATGGGTAAAATTCTTAAATAATGAAATAAAAAGGGCCCTGGCTATTTTTTTTTCCGGAAAGTTTTCATGAAACATTTGGTTAAAATTATCAAATAATGAAATATAAAAGGGTCAAGATTTATTCATCAAACAATCGTGTCATCACATCCCATCTTATTGTTCTCTGTTGCCGAAGAGCCAAATCGTCCGAGTATCCCCAGTTTATTCCGGCCTTAGGACTCAAAAAGCTATATGGCTATTACCAGTATCATCAGTGTACTGAGTGTAATTTTGGGAGCTGAATTCTTAAGCTTGATAACTATTTCACGAGTTCTATCCCACGGAGAAGAAATATGCATTGTAACTTGGATCGTTTTTTATCCAAGGAGCGGAAACAGAACTCAGTTTTCTTGCTAACTAAATTTAGTGATAAACTTTCACTTGGCGCGTCTTCTTCATCGGTTATTTTCTTTCATTGTTGAGCATCACTCCCGTCTTCTTCACGACTCATTTCGTCAAATTCTCCATCTTCATTTCCCCGTTCTTCATCATTAGCTTCATCATCAATTCGTCAGAAGCAGTCTCAAACTCGTCATCACTTACATCTTCAACGTCTTGGGCTGTGTTACAAGAAAAAATGATTAAAAAAATGCACAAGTCAACTAAAACTATACTTATCTATCAACTAAAGACAATGAAACCAGTCATTGGAGAGCAAGGGCTCCACTTTACAATCGACTTTAGAATTGCTTTATGTCCTCGTTGGAGATGATACTGTATAAAATATATCCTATAAATTTTCTTCTCTGATAAAGCTGAAAAAGATTTTTTGCTGGGTTTTGAACGTAAGAGCTAAAGCAAACCTTAAATGTATTTGATTGATAAAGAAGCTACTTAAACTGACCTTTGTCTTTTGTATTAGCAAAGTTATGACCAATGTGCTGATGGGAAAAGGATGCACTATCAAGGAAAAAAAAAGACAAAAAAAAAGTCATGCTCCTATATTTCTGACAAAAGTGCTTCCTGCTTTTCCTACCAGGTAAGGGGCGGTACAGGCTCCAAGAAGAAAACTGGGATCCAATAAAATTACATCTGCATGGCTTAAACGGTTGTAACTCCGGGCAGAGAATGGCCTTATTGGCGGCCTCAACGCTTCAGTTATGCGTTTCATGGATAATGTCAATACTTTGGATCAAAATCCAATATATGCGGAAGTGTACTTAAAATAATCTGTAAATAAACCCCTAATCCCCATGGTATCATAAACGCTCTTAATTCAACTAATTTGTCTTTTCTCATTACTATCTTCTCATGTTCCCTGCTTATTAACACACACACACACAGAACCCACAACTCATCTATTCGCTCTGACGAAGGGCCCGAAACAACAGTTTTAAAATCTCTTCACGGTTACCAATTCACATTATCAACTTAGGTGATAAAGCCAAATTATCTCGTTATACTCCACACAGACACAGCACCACAATTTTTCTGGAAATTTGCCCACTTTACTATCTTGTTATTATTATTGCTCATCGTTTAAACACTGTTAAAAACTGGGATGGTATTTTATTGCTAAATAAGGGTCAGAGTAGTGCTCCATACACCTTTGATGCACTCATAGAATATACAAAACGATGTTTGAAACGATCTTAATTTTTTTAAGGCGCCGCTTTATTCCAGCTTATTCCTTGGAGTAAAGTACTTGCACAATATATAGGGGATTAAATTCAACCCTGATAAAAATCACTATAATCAATTTTCATTGCCCCAGCCTCGCAACCAATTCAAGCGTCTTGTTCAGTTTCGTTTCAATCTTATTTCCTACATGTATGGACTGAAGATTTCTTATCTTATTTGCGATCAGGTATCACAATGTTTAGTCATATATGACTTTAGGGGTCTTTGAAAAACTGGTTTTATTTTCTTTCATTCGTGTTGTTTTACGTGGTTGTTGTAGGCAAGCGAATGCCACTAAAGGTTGAAACCGCAGGAAAGTAGTGATAAAGCGTGCTTATAAACGTTTAGGACAAGATGAAAAAATTCAAATCATTTATTTCAGAATTTAGTCAATTGCGATGTGGATTGTGTAGCTTGCGGTTTGCAGCAGACATAAAATGAAAGTAAAAAACAAAGAGACCAAGGATGTCAACTGAACCAAAAAAATTTATTTAACGCTTTTAAAGCTACATTTTCAGCTATGACTTTGAAGCAACTTTCTTAATCTTGCGTGAGTCTTGGTCCAGTCTAATCATTTTCGCCTAACCTGAAATAGAAAAAATAAAGTGAGGTAGTGTCCTTCCTAAAGTTACTTTAGTGAGTGATGAGGCCAGTTGAGACAAGCGTACTTATTTATGGCATGTTATAAGTAGTAGAGAGACAAGGACTAGTACATGCAATTCTTGATTTTAAAATGTTTTCAATTTTCTGCGCGATTGCAAGCTTGTAGGAATCTTTAATCGATATTTGTGAAAGACTCACCATTTTAATGACCTCTGGGGTAGTATGGGTAGCGGTAGGCGTAGCGGTAGCCGTAACCCTTTCCTTTTTTTGGGTAGTAACCCTTTCGGACACGATATTTACGGTAGCCTTTACGGTAACTTTTCCTAGGTTTTTTTCCGTAGGGTCCTTTACGGTATTTGCGGTAGCTTCTTCCTTTCCCATACAAATAACCTAAAATAATTACAAAATTAAATACTTTAAACCATTAATATCAAACGATGGGTTATCGAACATAAAAATCTCATAATCAGACAAAAGGCCCACTCATGAAAATTTCTCTCCAAATTTAACAAGATAATTGTCTGATATAATAATGATGTTGCTTTAATTATATCTTAGCTAGATGCAAACAATAGCCTCTATCTCGTGCGAAAATATAAACGGATATTTCTCCGCGGACATTATCTGTTCCAAGATGCGAACAGTTTCCGAGAGCGAATCTCGAGGAAAACTTCGAGCTTCGAAGAACAGATAACGTTCACGGACAAATATAGGAGCACATTTTCCCGTAAAACAGGGGCTTTGTAATTATTATCCTTCAAACATTTTGCAGCGCGCGCCGGATGTTTTCTTTTGACCGTTCTCTAGTACGATTTTATGAACAAACACATATTTCCCATCTTCTGTTACAGCTATAAAATGCTATATTTTCATAGATCATAAATCAAGATGTAAGATCAAGATAAAAGATCAAGATATGTTGATAGCTTTACCATATTTCTTGCTTGACTTTCTTGGCACCGGTCTTGGATCCTCAGAAACTTCATCTTCACCTGATGGAACAAAAAATAACAACATCTGTTTATAAAGTAGATTTCTTACGGTTTACTTCATTGATAATTATGTCATCATTTCCAAAGTAATTGATCTTTGTTTCCAAAAGAAGCAAACCGCCCGGTAATTCCTATGAGAAGGCAAATTCAGACATTTATATGGATCCTTTCAGTATAATCAGTGTAGCGAGAAGTTACTGTATTCTTTTCCTTGATTCTTATTTGCCATTGAAATAAAAACCTCGCAAGAGTTGAACTTTTTTTCCATCCCGAAATGAATTTAATACCAACTTTCAACTGTTCTCAACCAAAACCTGCTTTAAAAAATCTTGGTTAATGCGGAAAATGACCATTACTCCTAAACAGTTCTTTCACGAGTTTCTTCCCGATGGATAGAAAAATTCCAAACTTTCGTCATTGACAGTATAACTTGGATCTCATCTCTGAAGCGGAGACAGAACTCGGTTTTCTTGTTAACTAAATTTAATGATCAACTCTTGCCTGTCTCTTCGTCTTCATCGTTCATTTCTTCTAATTCCTCAGCATCCCTCTCGTTTTCTTCATCTCTTAACTCGTCAAATGCTTCATTTTCATTCTCCGGTTCCTCATCATTCTCTGCGTCAAATTTATCGAAGGTAGTCTCGAAGTCTTTTTCATTCAGATCTTCAACTTCTTGGGCTATTTAGGGGGAAAAGAGAAGGCAAAAAAAACTGATTAAAGATGAAAATCAAAGTGGAATACGCTGGTTTTCATTTAAATACAACCAGACCGGTAATTAAGTGGAGAGAGTCACGGCACTAAGAGACACAGAGTTGCTTTCTTATCCACATTCGTATGAACTATATTGAAGATAATTCTGATGAGTTTTCTTATATTTTCTGGTAACTTCTTTTTTTAATCAGGCTTCAAAAAGTAACTAAGTAGCTTCTTAAAGTGACCTGTATCCTCACTCAGAGGAGCATCTAGGTAAGGAAAAAAGAGTTCTTAGTAAAAGTACACCATTGAATGGGTGGAAAAAGGAATGGTCTGAGAAAAATAATCAGAGATGCTAATAGTGTAGAGCCAAAATCCATTACATAACATTGCATACTTTGCATGAAATTAACTAGGGGAGGATCAAAAATAGGTAAATAAAAGTAGTATTTTATGATGCAATAGGTGACAAGACAAAGGCATGGAGGTTTCGAGAATATGTTTCTTCAAGCACTCTAAATAGTCTAAGGCTAAAAATAGAGAGGTTGTCCTTGAAGTTAGTGCGCACGGTAGACATTAAACTGCATCAAGGACAATTTTACGGAACAACACTAGAAGAGAAGAAGCCTTGGAGATCGGAATAAAGTTGTGATACAAAATTTCCCTGCTTTCGTTTTGACTATTTTGAATTGTCAGCCAAAAATCTAACTTTTAAATTAAGGATAGTTATATTTAGAGTTACGAATACGCCGATTTGATGCTACACGGTTGAACAATTTTCTCGTCCGATATTTCTAATATTTTATTCCTGCGTAAATTTGATAATAGGGTTTCACTGATTAGGATCTCGATGAAATGACCTTCTACTAAATATTGCAATTATCCAGCTCTTTTCTTAGGGTTGAGCATGTAGTCAGTGCAAATGGCTAACAGTCAACAGGAGAAACAAAAACGATTCTACGGAAAAAGACTATTATACGGGAGTCTTAATGGGTAGAATAATCACATAAATTATAGAGTTTTGACGGGAGAGGAAGCTTTTTTGGGGTACCATTATCAAAATATCAGACAAAAATGAACTTTCATAATTCTGAAAAGTTTTATTTAGAATTCAATATGTCAAATTGATGTTATAAAGTTCGGCAATTTTCTCGTCTAATATTTTTGATTTCATGTCCTGAGTAGTTTTAATTACAAAGCTTCACCGAATAGTACTTCGGTGAAAATGACCTGCTACTTGGATAATGCAGTTACAACATCAAAATTTGAACTCTTCCCCAATCAAAAAGAGTAAAACTGTTGTCACTCAGTTTTAATAAGAGAATCGTTTAAAGAGCAACGTCTAAAAGAGTTACTGGATGAGTTTTAATGCTTGACAACAACGTAGGGAGCAAAAAAATTAGTGGGAACCAAGTGCGTAAAGTTAGATCTAATACTAGATTAGTACTTAGGTCTATATTGAATGCATGTAACGATATTTCTGTTTAACACTGCTGTGTTAGAATATCAACAATGAAAATTATCAGACGAGCATGGAAATCTTTCTTTTATACATACACAAAAGGAAGTTTTAACTTTTCTGACTGAGATAATGTTAAGGAGCCAGGTCTACAATCAATGACGGAAACCAAGTGGTTTAGCTGGAGAGTAGTTATCATCGATCACCGACCAAAAGGAATATCCAAATAAAGAACCGGTAAGTACGGTTTTCAGGAACCGATAAGATTTTCCAAAATTATCCGTTAAGTTGTCATTCACTTTGAGAGTGTTCAATATTTACTTAAGTCTGACTCTGGGGAATTTTTCTGATTATAAAATCTCAGAACTGAAAACTTTCATTTCTCACGATTTTCTGTCATTGGATTGGTAGTAGTATTTTCTCGAAATTTTCACTTCGCAGCATCACTCCGAGATTTTCTACAAAGAACAGTCAATAAAGGCATATCGCCCATGTTATCATACCCCCACCGTGCTGCGGAATTAAAGTTTCCTTTGTACATAAACTGAGCCAAGAACCGTACCATGATAGCAATTGGGAGAATGCAGGTAGCTGAGCGTGAAGCTTTATATCCGTCCAGAACTTTTAATGACAATGACGATGACAACAATGACAATATTTTTATTCACACGATTCAGGTACAAGGAGAAAAGAAGAAAAAAAAAAGGAAACTATAGAAAAACGAAATTGATATAGATTATATAACTATATGTACAATTTTTGAATCAGTATGCAACAGCCAACGTAGCAAAGCTTTCCAGTTGGCTGCTGTTTATTTACAAGTAAAGAAAGGAACGCAGGAAAGGAATAATAATCAAACTACTTAACAAAGCAAGAAGTGTTATGAAAACGATGGCCATATTACATTAAGATTACCTACATAAATATGATTACAAAGTGACTTTTAGTCGGGAATTCAGAACTGTGACTGATGTTTGAAGGGATGATTTTTATAACGCTTTTTAAAACCATCAATGGAGAGCCGTTTCCAGTTTGTTAATACCGTTTCCCATGATTTAGAGGCTACATATACAAAGGTAAATTTGACAGTGTTGAATCTTACTTTTGGTCGATGAAAATACTCTTGGAGGCGTATCTGGCGTTATACTTGTGCAGGCTAGAAACTGTTCTGAGAGAATCATAAAACAGGAAGGGAATACTGGAATAATTGTTCAATATCTTATGTGCGAGTGGGCACGTACTCAGTTTAACAATATTAAGAATATCAAGAAGCTTATAGAAAACGTGGGATGACTCTCTACTATAAGCAAAAAACATACAACGAATGCAATTATTTAAAGAGAACACAACTTGTTTAGATTTGATGAATAAGTATTTCCCCACACTACAACCGCATAATTTCAATAAGGATATATCAGTGTATAATAAAGTTGTTTGAAAACATGCATACTCACGTAGTGTCTTAATTTATAGAAGACCCCAATATTTTTACCTACCTAGGCTTTGGTTTTAACATGGGATTTTTGATCTTTCCAATTCAATTTTTTGTTTATATAAACACCAAGGTACTTAATGCAAGTCTTCTGCTGAATATTAAAAACAGTTATAGGAGTAACTTTTTTACTTGGTGAGGTTATTGACATGAAGTTAGTTTTTTTCATGTTAATCGATAGTTTAATTAATAGTTTCACAGTTCATAACTGATTCAATATCATTTATGTCATCTGAAGTATGGAAGATGTTAGCATCGTCAGCAAAAAGGCGAAAGGACAATTTGTTAGGTGAATTGGCAATGTCATTGATATGAATTAAAAATAATAAGGAGCCTGAGGTAGATACTTGTGGTACACCACAAGTCATCTCTAATAAACTTGACTTTTCATTCCCAATTTGAAAAAAATTGCTTAAGATCTTGGAGATAACTTGCTAACCAATCACGCGGCTTACCACGGATACCATATTTATGGAGTTTGTTTCACAATATTTTATTATTTATTGTATGAAATGCTTTTGAGAAGTCTAAGAAAACGCCACAAGATATAACATTTCTGTCAATAGAGGCCTTCAGATTATCAATGATCTCCATAATCGCTTGCTCAGTGGAATGGCTTTTTCTCAAGCCAGGTTGGTTCTTAAATATTACAGGGTCTTCATCAAAGTATTTCACTAGCTGATCATAAATGACTCGCTTCAAGATCTTACTGAAGGGGGACAGTGAAGCTATTGGCTGGTTTTTACTAGGATCAGACAAAGCTCTACTTTTAAAAACAGGAGTTACTTTGAAACTTTAAATAATCAGGCACAATGCCAGTAGAAATTGAATTAGTAGAAATAAATGCAAATGACTTAGAGAGGATTTAGAGGCTAATCTAACTGATTTATTTGGAACATCTAGTGACGATTTCTTATCATTCTTATCAACCCACTTTTCAGTCACAGGAGACAGAAAAAAAAAAAAAAACTATGTAAAGGAGAATGATTGATAAGTCCACATGGATCTCCAGCAGTATTAGAAACATTTTTTGCCAAATTGGGAACGACATCAATAAAATGCTGATTGAACTGCTCAGCAATATCTAATTGATAAGTGAGCTCTATGCTATTTCCTTTAATTCTAACAGGACAATTTGGGCCTTTATTTTTTCTCTTGACTAATGTGCCTATGAGCTTCCAGGCGGTCTTAAGATCATTTGATGGAATTTGAAGTGCTGATAGTAGAAATAATTCTCAGCCTTATGTTTGAATAAGTTTAGTGTATTAGCATAAAGCTTATATTCTTTTACGTTATCAGGATCTCTACAGAGGAAGTGTGATTTGTATAACTTCTGGCTATGCTTAACTGTAGTCAATACACCTTTAGTAAGCCACGGTTTGGCCAATTGTCTCCTTTTTCTTTATATGTGCATGCTTGTTTGCATTTTGCTTGAGTATACTTATACAATTAGCAGCTTCCTCGTGAATATCATTGGATTCATTATATACATTGATCAAATCAACCGTATCAACATCTCTAACATACTGGTCCACATAAAAGTTGTTATAATCACGAAATAGAATGCTCTTTTATACTTTGATATTTATCGATCAAGCACTGGTAATAGAATGATCTGAGACATCAACCAGCGCATGCCGGCATTCACACTCAAATCAGAATTTGTGTAAATGTGGTCAATCGGAGTAGAAGTATGATGAGCGAGCCTGGTTGGTTTTGTTATTAAAGGTAGTAGATTGTTAGAATAGAGCATATTTAGGTACTCTTCAGATAATAAATGCTCACTGTATTCCAGGAGATCTATATTAAGATCCCCAAGAATGTATATCTCATACTGACTTGCCTCTTTAAGCAAAGTTTCAAATTCAAAAGTAAAAGCAGGTAAATTACAAGAGGATGGCGTAAAAAGGAACCAACAATTATATTAGGTCTCCCATTCCCTGACGTTATTTCTCACTAGGATGATTCGTCAATGGTATGGTAAACTTTAAATCAGGTCCATGAATGGCATTAGGATTTTTCGAGACATAGCCCAGAACCGCTAGTCTGTTTTAGTGGGTTGGTGTGGAAGAAATTATAATTGAGGATATCAACATTTGTTACTGTCCGGTTTGATAGTCTCGGTTAAGTAATAGCTAAGATATTAGGCTTGCGGTTGACAGAATGTAAAAACTCGTTCAATAGAGAGAAATGTTTTGGAAGACTTCTGATATTACAATGAAACATAGAAAGACACTTTGAAGTGGTATTATCTAAGAGTTGATTCAGCTGAGTTAGGAAATAATAGTTGGAACGTGGACAATTAAGGATGTTATCAGAATCAATGTCATACCACCAGTTACCAATCACTGCTAATTTTTTTTTAAATTATTTTTTTTTTAAATAAAAACTAGTGAGCAGCATACAGCAACAGATCTTGTCAACTTGGTTTATTATCCAACCAGTTTCGTCTGATCACACAGACTTCATCAGGGATTAAGATGAACAAAATTGAACTACGAATATACTGGACATTTACAGTACAACTCACGTTCAAATTGAAGTCAAAACTGCAAAAAACACCCACAAACAGGAAATGTTACGCAAATCTAGCGCAACAATTTGGAAATGTTACGAAAATTCAGCGTAACAAATTAAGCAATGTTTATTTTTAGTTTTGGGATTTACGTTAAATCGTGAGCCCCAAACGCCAAATTTGACACCCTTTATGATTATCAGTTTACATTATCAACTAAGCTGATAAAGCAAAATGATCTAGTTATACTCCTCACAGACGCAGCACCACAATTTTTTCTAGAAATTCACCCTTTATTTACTTGTTGTTTGACAAATGAATGCCACTAAAGGTTGAAACCGCAGGAAAGTAGTGATAAAGCGTGCTGATAAACGTTTAGGACAAGATGAAAAAATTCAAATCATTTATTTCAGAATTTGGTCAATTGTGATGTGGATTGTGTAGCTTGCGGTTTGAAGCAGATAAATAAATAAATAAAATGAAATAAAAAAGAGAACAAGGATGTCAATTGAACCAAAAAAATTTATTTAACGCTTTTAAAGCTACAATTTCAGCTATGACTTTAAAGCAACTTTCTTAATCTTGCGTGAGTCTTGGTCCAGTCTAATCATTTTCGTCTAACCTGAAATAGAGAAAAGAAAATGAGAAAGTGTCCTTCCTAAAGTTACTTTAGTGAGTAGTGAGGCCAGTTGGGACAAGCGTAGTTATCTATGGCATGTTACAAGTATTAGAGAGACAACTCAACAAGGACCAGTACATGCATTTCTTTTTTAAAAAAATGCCTTCAATTTTCATTACAAGCCTGTAGCAATCTTTAATCGATATTTGTGAAAGACTCACCATTCTAACGACTGTAGGGCTAGTAGGGGTGGCGGTAGCCGTAGCGGTAGCCGTAACCTTTTCCTTTTTTTGGGTAGTAACCCTTTCGGCCACGATATTTACGGTAGGCTTTGCGATAGCTTTTCCTAGGTTTTTTTCGGTAGGGTCCTTTACGGTACTTGCGGTAGCCTTTTCCTTTCCCATACAAATAACCTAAAATAATTACGAAAAAATACTTTAGACCATTAATATCAAACGATGGATTATCGAACATAAAAATCTCAGAATCAGACAAAAGGCCCATTCATTCAGATTTCTTCCAATTTAACAAAATAATTGTGTAATGTAATAATGATGTTGCTTTAATTATATCTTGGCAAGGTGGAAACAATAGCCTCTATTTGACGTAAAAATATACAGGAATATTTATCCTCGGACATTATCTGTTCCATTATCTGGACAAATACACGAGTACAATTTAGTTTAAAATAGAGGCTTTGTAATTATTGTCCTTCAAACATTTTGCAGCGCGCGCCGGATGTTTTCTTTTGAGCGTTTTTCAGTACGATTTTATGAACAAACGGATAATTCCCATTTTCTGCTATATCTTCTTGAATTAAAACCTATCAGTTGGGTGATAGCCTTGACTATGCCCCAGTTTTAGCTGAGGGATATTCGGCCACTTGACTGAATACCAATCGTGCGCGAGCAAGAAAGTTTCATTGATCAAAAATCAAGATATAAGATCAAGATGTAAGATCAAGAAATGTTGAATAACTTTACCATATTTCTTTTTTGACTTTCTTGGCACCGGTCTCGGATCCTCAGAAACTTGTTCTTCATCTGATGGAACAAAAATTATAACATTTGGTTAGAAAGTGCTTTTCTCACAGGTTACTTCATTGATAATTGTGTCATCATGTCCCACGTAATTGATCTTTGTTTCCAAGGAAGTAAATCGCCCGGTAATCCCTATAATAAGACAAATTCAGACATTATATGGATCCTTTCGGCATAATCAGTGTAGCGAGCAGTATTCTTTTCCTTGGTTCTTATTTTGCGATTAAAATATAAATCTCGCAAGAGTCAGCTTTTGTTCCTTCCCATACTACCTTTCATACCAACTTTCAACTGTTGTCAACCAAAACCTGCTTAAAAAACCTTGTTGATGCAGAAAATGACAATTAAAGCTATCCCTGTCTATCCTACACGATTCTTTCACGAGTTTCTTCCCGATGAGTAGAAAAATTCCAAACTCTCGCCATTGACATTGTAACTTGGATCTCATCTCCGAAGCGAAGACAGAACACGCTTTTCTTGTTAACGAAATTTAATGATCAACGCTTGCCTGTCTCTTCGTCTTCATCGTTCATTTCTTCTAATTCCTTAGTATCCATCTCGTTTTCTTCATCTCTTAATTCTTCAAAGGCTTCATCTTCATTTTCCGGCTCCTCATCATTCTCTCTGTCAAATTTATCAGAGGCAGTCCCGAAGTCTTCGTCATTCAGATCTTCAACTTCTTGGGCTATTTTATGGGGAAAAAGAAAGTAAAAAAAAAAAAACGATTAAATG